TAAAATTATATGATATGCACATTAATTGTCATGCCGTAGTATATGTCTTAATCAGAAAGCAAGCTTAGTTATACATGAAAAATTTTTAAAGGAAAAATTCGGGATTTTTACCATTCGAGATTTTGGATTTCGAGATTTTATACAATTCAGGATTTTGGATTTCGAGATTTTGACCTTTCGAGATTTTGGATTTCGAGATTTTGGACGGCACCCGTCTAGATTTGATTATGAGATTGTGAAGTATAGGAGCAGCATATTTAACATAAAATTCTTCCATTAATGCTAAATTATCATCTATAACTACAAGCATTTCTTCTGCGAGAATATGTTTCAGATTTTCATCCTTTATCAAAAACATAAAGTAAATGATATGAAAATGTCAATAATATATACCAATTAATAAGTAGCCTATCTCACCTTAGTGATTGTAGCAGATTCATACTGAAGAACAGTACTAATAACATCTATTTGTGATTGCAAAAGTTCTGAAAGGAAGTCAATAATGTAAGTATACGTTAAACGTTTCCTGATGAATCTCTGCAACTTAACAGAAGCAAACTTCTTCCAGTTGTTAACTGTTATCTTATAATTATAGTTGATTATCTTTTTTATAAGCAATAAACAGCAGGTGCTGATGAGATATTTATGACCAAAAGTGTACTCAATAATGTTTTCAGCAATAGAAGCTGAATCAAACATAACACATTCTTCTTCAGAATATTGATCAAGAAGATTCTTGACATCTTCTTTTGTGAATTGTTTAGGTGTGATGAGAGCTTTCATTGTAAATGGTGAGATAGAATTAAATTGTTAAAGATACTGCTTAAGAGTCTCGATACTCACAAGTGCAGTGATATATAGACAAAGTGTATTCTTATTGCTTTTAAGAAATCACAACGTATTCAGTAGACTATCACTTATTTTGGAATCTTTGCTAATAAGATATGAAGCCTCATCAATGAAAAGAATTATCAGCTATTGGTAAATCTACTGCTGAAAAAAACCCTCAAATATGTGTAACGTTTATCTAATTTTTCATTAAAATTAAATAGGGTTAGATTCTTCATATGCAGTTTTTTGCATATGGACAACTAGAATCCATTAACTCTATTGCTAATATCAATTTCAGCATCAAATGAGATAATATAGACTTTAGGTGTGATCACTTCAAAGCAGTGTTAGCAAATGAACCTTAAAATGACCTAATCATGTGATGATTTTACTATAAAATCTATTACGTGATTATATATAAAATGACCTAGGTCATCTCAAAAAAAGAAAATGATCTTAAAATTTGCCAATACTACTCTAAAGTCACTAATCTCCACTTTCAAATGTATAAGATACTATCGTTACATATATTATTGTTGACTTGCTGCTCTGGCAGTAACCTTATACAAGGAAGAAATGACCGCTGAAAAGCAAATTTAAAAACTTTTTTACTAAAAAAGATTCAATATAAAAATGCACTTCAGGATAAGTTTTATTAGTAGATGAAAAATGTGATAAACTAAAAGAAAGAAAAAGAAAAAATAAATAGTGTAGACTGACAAGATAGAAGAAATTTAAGCTTACGCAAATTAGAATTCTTTGTAAACACACTCTTAATTAGAGGTATGTCTAGCTCTGAAGGTGAAAATGACTATTTCACACCTGATCAAGAATGGAAACAATAATTATCAGATGATTAGTTGACATAATAACATCAAAATAAGCAAGAAACTATAAATTGTTTATGTACATACTACTCTATGTCTCCAACGCCTGAGTCACAAAGCTGTTACTTATCTGTGATGCTATATCTAGTCTTTTCTGTAGCAATTCCACTAGTTCTATATGCTTCTGAACATCTTCCTCCAGCCTCCTCTTCTCTACTGCAAGCTCCTGCTTCTCCTTCTTCCACTATTTTCTTTCTTTTTCATCTTTGTACTTCTTCTCCTACAGCTTTTTCTTTAATGTTTCGAATCATTATCTATCATTCTTCTTCCTGAACCCTTCAGCTCTACTTTCACTTTGTTAAACTCCTTGTGTGCCTTTGCCAACTCTTGTTTAATATCTTTGATAGTTGCTATTTTTCTTATTTGATTGTTCAGTATAATATATTAACACTAATCTAAATCTTTTCATGATGATTTACTATATATCACATTTATTCGCCAATCAATTTTAATATTTTAATTCGTGATTTTCCAATCACATGTAGGATTTCCTTAATTGATTTCTGAGGAAAATTTTATATAGTTTATTATTAAATTAATAAAATATTATGCGCTTTATTTTTATGATAACTTTTTCTAGAATGT